CTAACAGCACTACTGAATGAATATTAGCGCAAGTTTCTGCTAGTCACTTTCAAAATGAAATCCGACTCACTCTTCTGCCGCCTGTCCGTCATGTTTGAAATCCGTGTTTGTTTTACACGATTGATATATAAAGAAGATTAGCGGTACGAATAAATGGTGTCGAATTTTGCAATAGGCGTCGAACCAACTTCATCACTTCCGACAGCTATCAGTGCTACACGGGCGTTTCGCTGTGACACGTCGTAAGCAGACATGACTGACGTAACAAAGCGGTTCATCTAAACACCACCATTTCCTTTATGGTCCAGGCTATCCTGCTGATGTTTGTTTGTGTTTCCGTTTGCATTATTCTTAGCCTTGCAAAATTAGGCTACAGAATGAAATTTTGTCAAGAATATATAATCGTAAAAATATTCGCCTTGGTAAATTTCTACTGAAACTGGTCTCCCTTCCGGCCTCATTATTCCAACGTATACACGTCAAATTTTCATAATTGTTACATGAAATATAATTAACCAGTTGGCGCCGCACGCATTGCGCGCACAACACAGATCTGCGGCGAATTTTGATGGTGCGACGAAAATTTTCAAATTTGGCTTGATACACCACGAATATCTGAATTCTCAGCTAAATTCTATCCGCTCCATCATCGACGGCTTTCAACCTCTTTTTCTTCGTCAACCATTATCCTCTTTTTCCCGGTCTCCGGACTGCTTCCGGACAATAAATCTCGTGGCAAACTCCGCCTACTTCGGTGCGTGCCCCGCCCACCAATAGCATTTGGCCCCTTCCTTTCGCCGACCTCTACCCCCTTTTTTCACCGGTCTCTGGGACCTCTTGGAACCAAATTACGACACTTTTGGCAAACTCCGCCCACTTAGGTGCGTGCTCCGCCCACTAATAGCAGTTGACCTCCTTTCCTTCGCCGACCTCTACTCCCTTTTTCCCGGCCTCCGGGACTTCTTGGAGCCGAGTTATGAATTTTCGTCGCAAACTCCGCCCACTTTGGTCACTAAGACTTCTCCGACCCGAATTATGAGGACTTGTAGAAAACGCTGTACACTTCAGAGCGCGCTCCGCCCATTGTGGGCGGGCCTCCGCCCACGTCATGTATGCTGGGAACACCTTAGACATTGCTCCCCTACACCAATTTGTTTTCTGCTCTTTTGTTCTGCGCTGTAGGCTTTCTCCCAACCGAGTTATGAAATTTTTCATAAAGCACTGCTTTTTTGGAGAACGCCCCGCCCACCGGGGGTGGGTCTCCCTAATTCGATGTGACTTACCAATGCACACCTTTACCCACTTTTTGGCCCAGTTTCGAGGTCGTTTTCTGAGAGAATTGAAAATCTCGGCCGCGCTGTCGTCATTGCGTTGATAAGTGCACGCTGGGCTGAATAAAAGTCGGAGAAGGAGATGGAACATTGGCGCGGCACTCCTTCCCTCTGTTAAGCCTTCTTTCCTTGATACTTGATATAGGATGGGTTGCAGTGAGGTTATTTCGAGCCCTCCCACCCCCAATACGTGATAAATTTAGAGTTTCTATGATGCCCTTGCTCGATTCGATCCCAACTCGTGCCTTTGATGCGATTCTTTCCATGCATCGATTGATACGTGGCCGCCCCAAGGAAAACTTCTTCGCATGCGTTCCGTTATTTTCGCCCTGGGTACCCTCGACCGTCCATTAGGTGGGGTTTTCGTCGGTTTCTTTCCCTTCAGACTGAATCTCCTTGCGTGAAAATCTCCAACTTTGTACGGTGTCTCTAGTGATTATAAGTAAAGTTTCCACCCTGAGAAAAATTGTGAAGAAGTTTTCGTGAACAACCCTTCTGACCAGTTCGTTCGCCGATCGCAGCCAGGCTTTCCTCCTTTTTTGAATCGGAATTTCTAGCTCACGCCGGTCAGCCCTTTCGCCACTAGACTTTGTACAGCATCCATTACATCATATCATCCTTCCCACCACCCCCCTCCATGGTACTCCACTCGTTTTCGGTTCGCGCACGCGATATACTACATGTAAATATTTATGTATTATATATTTACCAGTTTAGCTCCGCACGCAACCGCGCGCATCACATGGTAGGCTTTAGTGAAACTGGACAACTTGCTGAATATTAGGTCACGTGGCTGAGAAACTAACAGTAAGATGTTTGGAAGATGTGTCACATGAATTTCAAAGGCTGTCCAATTTTGCTGAAGATTGCGTCAGTAGCATGCGGAATGAAAATGACACTTATCATGACTTCGTAAACATTTAGCATTGATATCGAGCTCGGGAACAATCACGCCAAATCAAACGCATTCTAGTCATGATGAGTGAAAAATAATAGAAATTCCGCATACTATGGTCCAAGTCCCATAGCTGAGCAGGGCTCAACTTTCTTTGCTTCTTTAGATGAAAGGATAGGAATGGAACAAATTCACGTGCTAGGGACCTGGTTTAGTTCATTGAGTGCACGCTCAACTGTCGCTACTTTTATCAATACAGTTGCCGCTCATACCTCTTTCTGTCACCTACATTCATCCCTCGCCACCTTGATTAATTAGCAGTACTCAAAATCCTAACTTCCTTATCAAGCGTTATCGCTTGTTATCACTTCTGATCATCCCGCTATCCGTGTTCACGTCCCATCCCCTATACCACATGCGAGAGCCGAGGTTCCAATGCAACCGCAAGGGCCGCAAAACTGGTGTCCATTCGCACCATAAACTTTGACGCTCCTTATCAGTTCTTATCAGTTGCTACCACATTCGTTCACTCAACTTCTTGGTCCCCGCCTCATCCCACATATCATACATGAGTGCAAACTCTCCACTGTCAACGCGAACGGTGCAACGAAATTGGTGACATCAACATTTCGACGTCCGTTATCAGCTCCTATCAGTAGTTATCACTTCCCGCCACCCGTCATCAGTGTTCACCTCCGGCCCCCTATATATCCTGGAAGTTTGAGCGCTCTAGGTCCAAAGGGGGTGAAAGTTATGAATTTCCAGTCAGACACACACACAAACAGACAGACATAGCGTTTTCCATATAGTAGGGATGGGAAGAGCTGTACCATATGCATAGAGGATTCAGTGCAAGTGGGCGTCGTATCACTGTATCGCGTATGTGGCGTGCTAAGAACGAAACGAGTTTGAAGTTGGGGCTGACATGGGTAACGAGTGCTGCACAAAGTGTAAAATGGAAAGAAATGAACAGCGTTAGCCAGGCACTCTGAACTACAAAAAAGAGGGGTGACCCGGGAGCTTGATGCGATCTGTCTGATAAACAAATAAAGAAGCAGCGTTAAGCGTTGTTCGGGGCAAACAATAAATGGGCAACTCACATCATCCAAGCGATCTTTCGATTCCTTGCTGACGCCGATGAGGAAAAGAATATCAAAGCGAAGCCTTTCTGGTAATGGCTGTGGTCGTCGGCAGCTCGGGAGTGAAGAAGCTCGTGGTCAGTGTTGACTCTGTTTCGGTCGTAGTGAGCTCTGCTGTTGTTCCTGTGCTAGCAGTTGTTGTCGGATATGACATACCGCAGTACTGCCCACCGTTTTCACTGAACGGAAGTGAATGAGAAAGCCTGTCTCTCGCCTAATTTATTTTTGTCTGATGAAAATTCGTAGGTACTTTACAGTAAACTCCAGTGCAATGCGTGCTTTCCCCACCTGCTTTTTCACGACATTCCTGTAGGGTATCGGCCGCCACCTCATTTGAAACAGCACTACATGCTGGTTCAATCTCGTGGGCTCGGTCGCCCACAAATCAACAATTCCGAAACATTTACAACAATGGAGAAAGAAAAAGCACTCACTCTGCGTCGCGAATGAGCTGTCGCACAGAAGCCACCTTATTTTGCAGTCCAGTTGAATCATACGCTATAAAAGAGCAAGCGGCTCCACCAGCGATGACCTAGAAAAACGTCCCGTAGACAGTCACCAACAGACACATAGCAACAAGTATAGTGATGCAAGATTTTTTCTCTATGATCTGATCAAACAGTTCCAAATAATAGCCGACACTGGTTGAGAACTGACTCCCAAGCTGATCCGAAAAGCACAAAAGGAGTATTCAAGACTGACCTGGAGAGCAGTCTGGTCAGTAACATTCGGCCCATAGCCGACAGTGATAATACCGTAGCTGCCGTTCTTGAGGATCTCCTCAGTGATTCTTAGCGGTTCATCGTCGAATCTGCAGGAGCCTCATTTCACAACTGACTCTATCAGACCTTGGAAAGGTTGCCGTAAACAAAAACGACGCGTCTTCAGATCAAAAGTAAGCGTTAATCAATAGTTATCAAAAACAATCCATAGCTAGCAGTCTCGGAACAATGTTGGCAGCTTCTGAGGAAAAAAGGAAATATCTAACAAGGATACTATAACCAGGAAGTGTCTTTCAGGCGGGACGAAAAGCGATCAAGGTTTCGCCAACGACTACTTGAGGATTGGCCTGATTAGTCCTGAGCGAACATTCACTCTCGTTCCAAGTGGTGCCGCGCTTTCCCAAAACGGTTTTCTGCACTATGTAGAGCCTCACGTGACGAAGCATGACCTATGCTCACCTCTCATTAGCGACGCACCGCCCACGTCCGCACTTCAGCCCCTCCCCAACCCCCGCCCCCACCCGCCAACCCCCCCAAATGAGACTGATTGTACACGGTTCGATTCCTCGTGTGACAAAGTTTATTTATTTATGCGTAGGGAACGCGCTGATCCATGACAATACTAGGCTGGAGAGGTTGACCGAGTGAGATAATTTTACAATTATAAAGCAGCAACAAAAGAAAGTAGAAAAACAAAAACTCAATAATGACTAAAGACTAAACGATGCCCTAAAATGAGCCTATGGATAAGAGGATATAGGAGAAGGGAAAAATGGAAATGCCCACAAAAATCGAGGTCACGTTTTTTTAAACCGCGTGCCACCAAGACGCTGCAAAACCACTCTGGGAGTGTACTCGCAGATCTATATCTTTCAACGGATGAGCCCTTCAAGTAAGCGTTAACGAAACCGTGCAATAAACGCAATAAGCTATTTCAAAAAAAGACCAAGTTCACATTAGACTTACTTTGTAGTGGCTGTAACGTAGACGATCACATGGTTCTTGAGATAGGTTCGATATCCAGAATTCATGAAAGCTCTTCAGCACAGCAATTGAGAATGCCCTGAAAATCAATGAATCCAGCTGTATATTACAGAAGAGTCCGGTGCCCGCTTACGTTCACTTGGTCGTGATGACTTCACTCGGCATTTTCTCTACACATTACACTTTTTGTCGTCGAAATTTATTTCCTACTTGTATTTTGACATGGGCGGAAGTGGTGTAGTGGCAAGTGGCACGCTTACCACGCGAGCGGTCCGGGGATCAAATCCTGGGTCGTGAGTCGCCCGGGCCAACCAAGCCTTCCATCCCTCCGGGGTCGGTTAATTGGTACCAGACTTTGTCTGGGAGGATAAAAAAACTGACTTGTAACATCGGCTGGCCCCCGCAAGTCATTGTATAGGCCACATCGCATTCAAATGCCACTGCGAATGTACAAATGGAAGTAGAATGCGTGCCGCATCCCAAAACGGGATTGATCAACGGCAAATGCTTTAGCTTTATTTCTTGACATGAACGAATATGCGTGGTCGTAGAGCAAACGCATGGCTTTAGAGGAGATGTTGTAGTTTTTGTAATGCCATGTTAAGTGGCCTAATTTCTTACTACTGATTCTGGGGACAGGTTTCCTATGCGCGAGCATGCCTGAGAAGCATATATAGGTAATGAATTTGATGATTTTCAAATGCATTTTTCTCCCGCTTCTTGGCAATTATCGGCATGGCCCAAGAGCTCGAATGTCTCACGCGGACTACATTAATTTTCATGCAATCGGGCCTTCTATCAGCGCAAATGACTTCAGACCAATGAGGAAAACCCTTGAAGACTAAACGAAAATATGAACATTATTCTCACAGAGTTCATGACCCGTGAGCATGGACATTTTACATACCAACGGCACTGAAAATGAAGAATCTCTCAAAAGTGCTAATCAGCGCAGATCATAAACCTAACAGCACTACTGAATGAATATTAGCGCAAGTTTCTGCTAGTCACTTTCAAAAATGAAATCCGACTCACTCTTCTGCCGCCTGTCCGTCATGTTTGAAATCCGTGTTTCGTTTTATGCGATCGATATATTGAAGAAGACTGCGGTACGAATAAATGGTGTCGAATTTTGCAATAGGCGTCGAACCAACTTCATCACTTCCGACAGCTACCAGTGCTACACGGGCGTTTCGCTGCGACACGTCGTAAGCAGACATCACTGACGTAACAAAGCGGTTCATCTAAACACCACCATTTCCTTTATGGTCCATGCTATTCTGCTGATGCTTGTTTGTGTTTCTGTTTGCATTATTCTTAACCTCGCAAATTAGCTAGCCCAAATGATTTTGTTCAAGAATATATGTAGCAATCAAAAACAGATCTTCGCCTTGTAAAATTTCTACTGAAAATGGCTCGCCTTCCGCGCTTCATTATTCAACGTATACCCGTCAAAATTTCATAATTTTACTTGAAACGTCCAAATAATTATGGGTGGGCAAAAGTAAAATGCCATAGGAACACCACATAGACTGAAGACGGCATGAAACTGTTGTTTCTATCATTGGTCACCGACGCACCTCCACTACATCCGGTTGTAGGGTTTTCAAAACCAACTTCTGGTTTCTGACTCACGATCAGGCAACTAATTTACAGTCGGTATCTCGAACTCTGATTGGGCGTGTCACCGGAAATGACGTGGCAGCCATCGCACTTGCTAGATGCCACGTGGATAAGATACTCCGCCAGATATCAGCGAAGCATGCTGGAAGCAGCTTATCCGCGCAATTTCTATCAAGTGCGGTGGCTGCCACGTCATTTCCGGTGACACGCCCAATCAGACTTCGAGATTTGGAGTGTAATGTAGGGGTGCGCTCATCGGGAGGCACAGCAGGATTTAGTGAGAAATTTGTTCCCGGCAGGCTTTGTCAAGTTATCTTCTTTTGCCAGAAAATGTTTTAACCCATAACGGACGGCGTGCGCCACAAGGTGGCGCACGACTTATTTCTTTTGTTTTTGGAATGTTTCTAGCAATCTTAATATACCCATATATACTCTCAGCAATGTGGAATAACATATCTTCCCAGGACCTGGACGGCTGGATTTTTGACAAACCTACAATAAATTTTACATACATTTTGTCTTAATTTACATAAGTTTACTATTTGATGGGTGGCTTACCCATGGTTCACACGTCCCGAGACCCCTTCCCCTAAATATAGCCACATCCTTGCTCGGGGTTGTTGTTTCGCATTTTTCGATAATGTCACCTACAGCTTCCATTCATTCTTTGCACCCTAGTTTTAGAGCGGAAAGGCGGGTTACGAACTTGTCGTCAACGGAAATCTCTTCTTTTGGATGATGAGACACGGACACCTACTTTAGCCCGTCTTAACCCTGCTGTTCGCATAAGCCTACATAAACCCTACCCTGGGTGGCGGCGTGCGCCACATGGTGGCGCACGCGAAAAATACACTGGCCGTCCGTTATGGGGTTAAATAACGCACGCTGGAGTGAATAAAAGTGGAGAAGGAGAAGGAACATTGGCGCGGCACTTCCTTCCCTCTGTTAGGTCTTCTTTCCTTGATACTTAATATAGGATGGGTTGCAGTGAGGTTATTTCGAGCCCTCCCACCCCCAATACGTGATAAATTTAGAGTTGCTATGATGCCCTGGCTCGATTCGATCCCAACTCCTGCCTTTGATGCGATTCTTTATATGCATCGATTGATACGTGGCCGCCCCAAGGAAAACTTCTTCGCATGCGTTTCCGTTATTTTCGGCAACCCCGCGTACCCTCGAACTTCCATTGAGTGTGGTTTTCGTAAGTTTCTTCCCTTCGTAGACTAAATCTTCTTGCGAAAACTTTTGCATGGTATCTAGTGAGATATAACTGAACTTTTCAGTTTGAGAATAAATGCAAGAAGTTTTCTTGAACGACTCCTCTAACCAGCCCTTCGCCGATCGCTGCCAGGTTTTCCTCCTTTTTTGAATCGGAATTTATATCTCACGCCGGTCAGCCCTTTCGCCATTACAGTTTGTACAGCATTCATCATATCCTATCATTCTTTACATGTAAATATTTATGTATTATATATTTATTGGGAGACTTACGTAGTACATAGAGGACTTCAACCATCTTACTAATTAAACAAGTGGGCGTGGTATAAATGTATGTAGTATTGAGGGTGTGATAAAGAGAACGAGTTTGAAGTAGGGGCTGACATAGGTAACGAGGGCTGTACAAAGTGTAAAAGGGAAGGTCCAGCGTGAGCCAGGCATTCTGAACTACAAAAAAGAGGGGTGGCTCGGGAGCTTGATGCGATCCGTCTGATAAACAAATAAAGAAGCAGCGTTAAGCGTTGTTCGGGGCAAACAATAAATGGCAACTTACATCATCCAAGCGATCTTTCGATTCCTTGCTGACGCCGATGAGGAAAAGAATATCAAAGCGGAAGCCTTCTGGTAATGCTGAGGTCGTCGGCAGCTCGGAAGTGAAGAAGCTCGTGGTCGTAGTGAGCTCTGGTGTTGTTCCTGTGCTAGTAGTCGTTGTCGGATATGGCATACCGCAGTAGATCCCACCGTTCGCACTGAAAGAGAGGTGCATGAGAACGGATAGTCTTCTGCTGAGGTTTTTTTGTTGTCCAGATGGAAATTCGTGAGAATTTCACAGTAAAAAAGATGGCATACTTGACCTATTCGCACGTCAAATGCCTATGAGGACCCACGAATGGGCCATTGCGTCCATTGGTGGCCCGTATATGAGAGGTGGAAAAAAATAAGCGATTTAGGAAAACTGCAGTGGCTTGTATGGCTCTCCCCATGGCTTTCTTCACACATACCCTTAGGGATCGCCGTCACTTCATTTGAAACAGACTAACATGCTGGTTCATCTCGTGGGCTCGGTCGCCCACAAATCACCAATTCCGAAACATTCACAACAATGGAGAAAGAAAAAGCACTCACTCTGCGTCGCGAATGAAGCTGCCGCACAGAAGCCACCTTATTTTGCAGTCCAGTTGAATCATACGCTATAAAAGAGCAAGCGGCTCCACCAGCGATGACCTAGAAAAACGTCCTCTCTACTGAGCAAAAGATACTATGCACAATATAGTATAGTGATCAAATTTTTTTCTCGACATGATCTGATCAACAGTTGCAAATAATAAGCGGACTTGGTTGAGAACTGACTCCCAAGCTGATCCGAAAAGCACAAAAGGAGTATTCAAGACTGACCTGGAGAGCAGTCTGGTCAGTAACATTCGGCCCATAGCCGACAGTGATAATACCGTAGCTGCCGTTCTTGAGGATCTCCGCAGTGATTCTTAGCGGTTCATCGTCGAATCTGCAGTAACCTCATGTTGCAATTACATTTGTCAACCGGTGAGAAGGCTATCATCATTAAAGGTAGGGCGCGTTTGCAGATCCAAATTAGGCGTTGATCTCTAGTTATGGCCGGCTTCAATATCTACAGGGTGGATAAAAAGTATAGGACGCCATGCTTTGAGGGTGAAAGTCAAGAAGGAGCTTCTATGAGCAAACCAATTCCACAGGAGAATAGATTTGAGCTAAAGTGGTCACCTAGGGCAAAAGATACTCTAACGCTGGCGATTCTGCTTCACCGGAGGCCCTCATTCCATTGACTGGATTAGCAGTGCGCCGCAGACAGTACGGCGATGTCGTCCCACGTCTTCTGAAGCGCTTAACTTCAGTCACTAGCAGTAGATGTCTTCTGAGATTTTGCCTCTATCATCGCTCCCAGAGAATCGGGCCCAAAGTAGGCGAAAGGAGGCACTATTCCTTGCCAGTTTGGGAATGTGCGCGTCCAGAACGGCTTTAATAGAGTTGAAAGTATAATCAGTTAGCCCATTTCTATTGAAGAGCAAAGGGTAGAATGCTTTTGGATCCAGAAAAAAATGCCGTATCTCCGCGTCGTCTATCGAAAGACCTTTGAGTTACTTAGGTTTTTGAAGATGAACACCAATGGAACTTCCGCTTTAAATGTGACCCCCGCTCCAAACTACGAAGTTTCGAGAGAGTCTGCTGTAGACAAAACTTCATTTCGGGGCTTGCTGTCAGTTTCTGAGAGATTTCTGAGTTTCTGAGAGACGTGCCTCGACTTTAGAGATCTCGAAGAAGTTCTGCAGTTAACGCACCAACCCAAGAGAATCGCGGCGATCGATCATCGCAATCGCAAGAGAAATCCGGCGCGCTTCGAGCTCGCGCAGTGAGTTTGCGTCTTTTAGTCGATTCTATTCGAACTGCTCCAGTCAGCGTAGATAGGGTCATTAACTCTTTACATAGATTAGAGCACCTCCCAAGATCATTTGGAAGAAAGACGGCAGATCAAAAGGTGAAAAAGATGGCGACTTAAAGGCACGCTCCGCGACCAGGCGGGCTCGCCCGTTCCATCCAGGGTAGTAGGCAGGTGACAGTGCTGGGACTGTGGACCCTTGTGCGGTTTTAAAGGTGCTAGACAAAGGCGCAAGTGTTGATCGCGCCCCTTTTGCCGCTTGAAAGTGCGCGACAAAGGCGCAAGGAGCTCGTCCAACCCGCAACTCACACCTTCGTCCGCAAGCCCCACCCTCCGCTGTCGGTTGCCACGTGGCGCTGCTTGAAAAGCGCGGGCGCATTTGAGGCAGCGGTCCCATCGCGATCCAATGTTATTGGCACTGGAGCAACTAGAGTTAGGTTCGTGAAACTCGTCCAACGCGCCTCTTCTCTATCCCAAGGTGGAATGTGGCTGAAATAGGGGAGGTCTCTGTACGGGGCGTAATCGGTGGTTTCGTTTGCTTTCCTTCTCTTTTACAGACCACCTCCCACCTATAGCTTCATAACTGAACGCTTTTCCACACCTATTTTATCCCGAATCTTGCCTTTAAGCTGGCTCCATAATTGTAAGTGATCCTCTTCTAGGTGATTGCCCTGATCATCTGAGTGTGCAACGTTTTCGACCTCCCACAGAGGTATCTGCTGGAGTCGTGAGAGCAGCGAATATGTATCAAAGAGTGGAAAAGGGAATAACGAGTCGATCTGCGAAGTAGCACCTTCGGAGACTGCCTCCAGGCATTCCCTTGATAGGTCGATGCGAAGAAATTTTCATAGCAAAGTTCAGATGAACTTTGGACCAAATAACTTATGGTGCTTCTTACACAGTTTCGATAATTTCAGAAAATTTCAAAACGTTCCGAAAATGCTCCATGGCTCTGTGCCAGCAAGCCGTTCAAACCGCGTCCTATACATTCAGCCACCCTGTATGTGTAAAGGTGATAGTTTCTATGGAGAAGCATGTTGGATTCTCAAGGAAAAAAGCGCGAAAAATAGTCAGGGATGCGAGTTTCACCAACTCTTATGTTCCTGTCATTCTTTCCTCGAGAGAATGAACGCAATCAGTTGCTAAATATTCTAAGTGTTGGCAAGTCTGCAGGGAACCGTTTGTTTTTATCCCTGATAAAGGCAATATCAAGGCGGACCAAAGATTGGCGAAATCTGCCTCTAAATATTTGATTTCTTGGACGAGAGCCTTCTCTGAGTAAAACTTGGCAAAGCTGAATAAACACTGTCATCGCGAAAAAAAAGAGTGGACCAACTTTGTAGTAGGAGTGACGTAGACGATCACATGATTCTTGAGATTGGTTCGATATCCAGAATTCATGAAATCCTTAAGCACAGCAATTGTGAATGCCCTGAAAATCAGTGAATCCAGCTACATAGTACACGAGAACTTTGTGTCAACGCTGATGCTCTCTAGGTCCTCTTAAATTCACCCGGGTTTTTTGAGTTCCTCAATTTTTCTTTGAAATTTTTTACCAATAGTAGGCGCTGCCGTGGATGAATATTGCATGGTCGTAAAACAAACAGACGAATTTGAAGAGCATTTCTCAGTTCCAAGTTGAGTAGCCTAATTTGTTACTACCGTTCCAGCGCAAGATTATGATATGTGGCGCAACCCGAATACCGGGCAAACGACTTGACGATCATAAAGCATTTCTCAACTCAATTTTCGCAAGCACCGGCATGTGCCAAGGCCTCAGCCTCTACTATGTGTTCATTAATTTTTGTGAAAACAGAGGGCTTGCGAATCACTAGAGAGCAATGCTTGAAACGACTGAAAGAAACAATACGATTATTTATTGATTCTCGGTTTCCCTGCGATCTATGAAAATGGTGCCATGAACATCGAAATACTGAAATGAAGATCTACGCAAGCTTCGTTTCGCGCGAATCGAATATGTGGTGGAGCTTAACACATTCACGCCGATGGCCGCCCATATGGGCTGCCAACAACATGTGCTCCTGGGACGATGGCAGCCCATATGGGCTGCCAACTGATAATCGCTTGCCAGGCGCTAGGAATGGACAGATAGGTGGGCAAACCTCGTAATCGAGTGTAAAATGCTTTTAAATTCCTTCACGGGGAAAGTGAATAAATGCTCTCTTTTCGTAACCACTATTTGTCGTTCTGATCGAAATCCTACTGTTATATGTTTAGATAATCTTTACGCATTGGACATTGCAGAAATTATTTTGTGACATTCATGTTTTTGTTCATTTACAAAACAAAATCTGCGGTTATGTGGTGAGGCGGCGGCGCCCACAAAATCGCGTCCGTCCCACGCGACCGAAAAGTGGAAAAGGGGCGTCGTCGTGAATGTGTTAATGGAAAATTCTCAGTAAGTGTTGCTCAACAATTACTCCGGTTGTTACAGGAAGTCAACAAGCCACTTATCCTCTTGTCCTCTTATCCTCTTATATATAAAGCAGCAGTTTGGTGTGTTTGTCTGTTTGTAACCAGGGGCTCGCACGCTACGTAGACCCAAGAAAACAGTTAAGGCATGGTCCCGGATGGGTAGGAAGCTGCCCCTTAGGGCGTGTAGGGTGAAGGTAGGGCTTGGTTAGAAAGGGTATGGTAGTGGGCGGAGCCCGGTCAGGTGGGCGGGGCTTGCGCTGGAATCTCCTTAGAAAACATAGGTTTTTGTGCAGAGGCCTCGAATTGCTAAGCGAATCGCAACATTGATTGGGTAGTGTCGTAGGAGTTGATTTTGGATGGGTCACATGTTATCGATCGATATCGATTGAAAATATCGGTTTTTGCGCAGAGGGCTCGAATGAGGTTGGGAATCACAGTATTGATTGAGGCTGTGGTAAAAGTCGAAATTCTATCGGGTCACATGCTATCGATCGATATCGATTGAAAATATCGGTTTTTGCGCAGAGTGCTCGAATAAGGTTGGGAATCACACTATTGATTGATGGCTGACACTCCTTCAGAGAACGCTCCACCCACAACGGGCGGGCCTCCCAGATTCGACTTTTAAACCCAGTGCACACCTTTACTCTTTTTTTTCGGTGTTTTGGCTATACCTATACCCAAACTTGAGCATTCTGCCGTCGGCTGCTCCTAACTCGACGCATGCCCCGCCCACTGTGGGCGGAGTTTCCCATGGTCCATGTCTGCCCCGTGTAGCCTGACTCATTCTCTACCCATCCCGAACTTGACCTGGACTCTGATGGTGGTTCCTTAGATAGTACTTAATTTTTTCAAATAGA